TGTTTGTCATTAACTACAGGAGTCCTTAAGTTTGAAATACAAGTTCAAAAGTTAAGGACATGAGGTCCTTAAGTTATAGTCCCATGTTCAAAACTTAAGGACTGTCGGTCCTTAACTTTGAATTTCAAGTTCAAAAGTTAAGGACATTTGGTCCTTAACTTTGAATTTGAAGTTCACTTACACTTAGTTATGAACAAATACTAACAAACTCTAGACAAATCAACAGTTGAGAGAAACAACGAAATAAATAACAAAATGCCTTGACATAACTTTTGAAATTGTAATTTTGCATAGCTGTTACAAAAAATTACGCTATGTCAATAAAACAAAATATAAGTGCCTTTTCACAAATTTATAGAATATTTCAGAACTATCCTAAACTAGCAGAATTCAGATGTCACCTTTACAACAATTTTATACAAAATAATACCACAATTTCTTTACAACTCCTTTGGACAGAATGTTTCATTTTCACTCTCATAATCATCACCAACATTTTCTGGTGGAGTATCATAACCAGAATTTCTTTTTCATTCACCATGTGCCCAAAGATTTGCAGCAAGTTCTTTTCGAAAGTCTTTTATGTCTTCGGGTTGGAATTGTTGCACGTCCTTTCCCATCATCAGCAACTCGGCAAATTTGATCAGGAATGCACCACAATCAGTCCTAAGAGAAATGTAAGATATGCAGTGAATTAAACAATAAATCTTAAGTACATATAAATAATATAACAAATAACAACACGTACGATCCAGTTTGGTGTGATGATCTTTGCCACTGTATATCAAATTTGTTGAAGACAATCATTCCTAAAAGACTTGTGATTTTTGTCAAACTGTGAGAACTTTAGCAAATGGGGGATCATTCGTGCATACATTTGCATGTAATTCATTCCTGCTTCATATGACTCACTGTATATGGAATCATATACATCAATATTTTTCTGATTCAAGTCCAATACTCCCAACAGAAAGTGTGTCACAACTTTATCATCTTCTGAAGGAAGCCGACATGGAAAAAAGATTTTGTCAACCTTAGTCCATGCAATTCCACATCTACGGCTGTCCCCCCATACATATGGTGTCAGAAATAACTGATTATCACCAGCACACCAAAACTCATCACTAGCATCTTCACTGAAATCTTTATACACAAGTGCCATATAATTATCAAAAAGAATATCAGTAGTTGTGCATCGAAAAGGATGATCGCGAGGGTGGTAGCATTCCTTCTTTCTCAGATAATAGAGTGCAATGTCAATATGCTTCATAAAAAGGCAAAAAATAAAACAAATCAATAACAAATCAGTTATAAAATAATGAAAAAATGATAAATTAATAATAGAAAAAATAAATGCCTTGTGAATTATCTAACCTTATCATCAAGAACAAATTTGCTATCTGAAAGCTCAAGGAAAAATATTTTGCTACTGATTTTTTGATGATACAATTTGTATGATTTTTTCCTCACACTATTATCATCAGCATATAAATCAATTTGTCCCCTGAAAATTTTGAAAATGTCAAGTTAGAATTTAATCCTGAACTTAGCCTTTCATGCTGGAAAAATTAATGACAGACAGTCCTTAAATATGAATTAGAAGTTCAAAAGCTAAGGAGAATTGGTCCTTAACTTATAGATTCAAGTTTAAAACTTAAGGACTGTCTGTCCTTAAGTTTGAATTCAAAATTCATAAGCTAAGGACATGCAGTCCTTAAGTTTGAGTATCAAATTCAAAAGCTAAGGACACTTGGTCCTTAACTTATAGATTAAAGTTTAGAACTTAAGGACTTTCTGTCCTTAACTTTGAATTCCAGGTTCAAATCTTAAGGACAAGAAGTCCTTAAGTTTTAAACTTGAATCTATAAGTTAAGGACAGTTAGTCCTAAAATTAGTCTTACAATCACAGAAGTTAAGGATGTAGTGAAACACATTAAGAGACTTACTCTTTTTTGCGACCTCTCCTTTTCTCCTTGCCCAACCACACAATGAATTTCTTCACTAATTTTTCATCTTCTTTGGCATAATGAAAAATACACCTACGAGTATAGGTTGATTTTATCCAACCTGAACTCTTCAGAGTATTTTGATTGTCTGCCTTGGAACTTACTGCTTTTCCTTCCTTATCAAAAGGAGATTTCAACTGCCAGCTTAACTTCTTGTTCCTTTTACCTCGACCAAGTTCTTCTTCAACATTTCCTTCACCCTCCATAGTCAAAGTCGCATCAATGTCCATTTGTATACTTGGAGGAGTAGGAGTAAGAAGAGAAAATGACGGACCATCATAACCAATACTGTCTCTCTTTCTTTTCCTTGTATATTGGTTAAGATCGTCATCATTGGTGTCCTCTTTGTTTTCCTCTGCTGGCGACACTATATATATATATATATACATATTAGTTTTCTGCAACATGTCAAATGAAGAGACAAAATTTCAATTGTACATATAATAATTAGGGCACAATCAGTACCTGTCTTCTCCGCAGTACCTTCTTGTGTTTTTTCAAGAAACAACTCAGCTATGATATTGCGTGCAGTATTTTCTTTTTCTTGCAATTCCACATTTTCTTTATCTTGCAGTTGTTCACCATGATCTTTTTAGATGCTTGTTGACAAGATTCTGCAAAAATATTTACAAGAGCTAACATGTTAATAATCTTTAATTAAAACAAACATATATAAAATTAAAAAAGCACTGCCTAACCATTTGCAATATCCAAGATCATTCCAGCTATATCAGCATCATCACATGTTGCATCTATAGATTTGGAACCAATCTCACTTCTGCTTATGTCTTGAGATTGTAGTCCAGTTTACTCTTGATACTGCACTCCAGCTTCTTCGCTTGCTGCTTCAAAAAATACTGTAACATTTGCAATTAATACCCATTCTAATAATGCACTAAAATAAAGATACAATATATAATGAAAATTTTATCTAACCTTGACTGGAACAAGTTTGAACTCCAAATTTTTTTTTGTATGACAGCGGTGTAGAGAGATCATACGTTCCTTCTAAGCATTTGCATACAATCTCGCTGACACTTGCCCCCAATGGACTTGTTAAATCCTCCTGTGATTGCAATCCACAAACTCTACAAATTTTCTCTGGCACTCCTTTCTCTTGTTGATTCTCCTGCTCTTGACAATCTCCTAAATCTTCAACTTCTGCATGCACATGCATAGTTTATATGTATTAATCTATTGAATATACATTTCAACGAAAAAAAAATCAAAATCTATACCTAACCTTTCCCAATATCAGTAACATTTTCAGTTTCATCATCTAGATGTGCATCTCTAAATTCTCTTTCATACTGACCCTCTGCATGCACATCCATATCATCACATTCAACACCACCTGCATCTTGGTTGAATATGCCAGTAGGCTCAGTAGCACGACAATGATCATCAACTCCATATTTTCTAATTGGAACACTAGATTCTCTATCTGTGTTCATCTGATCAGCTTTCCCAAACATGTTCATCAAAGTATCAAGCTTTGATCCTAGAATTTTCTTTAAATCCTGAGAAAGCAACTAAGTTACAAAGAGAAGGACAGGTTTAAAACTTAAAGACAGACAGTCCTTAAGTTTGAACTCAAAGTTCAAAACTTAAGGACATGCAATCCTTAAGTTTGAACTCCAAGTTCAAAAGTTAAGGACAAGAAGTCCTTAACTTTGAATTCCAAGTTCAAAACTTAAGGACATGATGTCCTTAAGTTTCATTTCAAAGTTCAAAAGTTAAGGACAAGAAGTCCTTATCTTTCAATTCCAAGTTCAAAATTTAAGGACACAAAATCCTAAAGTTGGACTAACTGAAATTACCTTGATTTCGTTCTCAATCTTTTTTTCTGATACAACAATTTTCTGATTAACTCTGGTAACTTCTGCTTGCAAATCCTTCTTAAAACTCTCTGATAATCTCTGAATCAAAAAACATAATATAAAAAAAAAGGTGTTCGTAAGCAAGAAATAATCAAATAAAAAACTAATACTATTCAAAGGCAGAAACACATACTCTAACAATTTCCTTAAGTACGCCTTCGTCAAATTGTGTGGAAGAAGACCTTGAGCCTCGATCTTGTGAAACTGGCTCCTCCACACAAAGAGGCTCTGTATCTTCTTCTTCCACGGGAATAAAGGGTGACACCTCAATCAACTTAAACACCTATTATATAAGAAAAACTAAACATAAGTATACATAACTAAAACAAATAAACAAAAAAAGAGATAGTAATTACATTAACTTACTTTTTCATTATGGAAATATTTTCTACAAAGAGCATCAAATTGTGGAGACTTCATTTCAGAATAACATAACATTCGAGGATAACCAGCTTCTTTGAAGTTCACAAATTGTTTCTCTTGGAAAATAGGAAGTACTTCCATAATCCAGACACAAAACGCAAAAGGAAAGCCAACTAAAGTGTAGCTATCAATATCTTTTTCTTTCTCTTTCTCCTTCTCAACATCATTCTCATTTGATTTCAAGCAACTCTTCAATGATTTTAATAGCGTCTCATAAGCAAGAGAGCCCCAGTTGAAGGAAGCGCAAAGTGCATCATCGTCAACAATTTTCATTATTTGCTCCGACACATTCCTATTTTTCCTCTTGCCCATCAAAACCGACTCAACAAAATAGAGTATTGCCAACTTCAAAGCATCATCATCACTGCCAGCAAATGATGAAGTTGTACCATGTGGGCGACTAGAATTAAAACTATACAAATCAGCCAACTCAATTTTGTCCTTTCCAGGGAAATAGACTCTTAAAAGCCTATTCTCTTTCTCATTTAAACCTTTCATGTCAAGCGACGAATAAGACTTCAAACCAGTAATAATATGGAATGCATCACGAGTAAACTTAATATCGCGGTCAAATACCTTGAAGGTCATCGAATCAGGTTCATTACTAACAATTTCAGAAAGCAATACACAGTGCATAAGTTTACCCGAGAACTTCACACTTTGTAATCTGAAGAAGTTGCCAAAAAT